CTGGGGAGCTAAATTGCCCCCGCAGTGAGGACTAGATTAATGTTCTGTACTAGGTTAACTTTCATACTGCCTTCTTCTGAAGGCTCTCTGATAAAAGTGACAATGATTGGAAAGAGAATATCTGGCCTGCCTTTTTCTGCAGAAGGGGAAAATTAAGATTAAGAGTAACTCTACCTCATCAGGAAGAACAAAATACCAAGAATTATGTAGTTGAAATTAATAAAACTTGGCACAGTTTACACTAAAAAAGGGACCAGGACTAATGGAAGCTCAAATTTTAATAGGGATACTACCCTGACCTATCGGACATCTGGACTTTCAAATATTAAGAATTATCCTTCATTTTTATACCATTTAAAGAATTTTCTTACTGTTCTAGTAGTTCTAATAGAATTATTTGTTCTAGTAGAAAATCAGCTCTTTAAAAAAAAATCAGTCCTAGTTTTTCCTGTAACCTATTTCTTTTTTACTCATAAAATGGCCTTTTCTTTTGCTGAGCTAGACACCTTAGTTCCTTGCTCATTTTAACTTTAAACAAACAAAAAAAGACTCATTAAAAAATACAACTTTGGAGAGGTGAGGTATCCCTTACCACTTGCCGGTACTTGTTTACATTTTCTTGAAGTGTGTTAAGTAGAAAACTGAAGATCCTTTCCATGTTCTGGGTTAATGTTTGCTGGATGTCCCTTCTTCTTTGAAAGGGCAGTGTATGAAAGGTTACTACATCCTCTGCCAGTCGCAAAAGGATGAACATCACTAATTCTGTCTGTGTTTCCTGTATCAACAGAAATAAGCTAGTTAAATTAAACTAAAACATCTTTTCCATTACTGGTATGCCTAAAAGCTCTTCTCTGTTGACAAAACAAAGAAACCCGTGAGGAGCCAAAAAACCCCTAACAACAAAAACTGAACTGGTACTACTGCACTTCATACCCCTTGTTTGGAAAGAGTATCCAATTCTATTAGCATGTCAGGCCAGTGCTGGGGCCACTCCCGCTTGATCATTTCTACTACAATTCGAGACAGAACATCTTTAATATGGTTCTCCTCTTCCAAGATGTTCAGTGTTCCCTGAAAAAGAATATGAGATATTAAAAGGTCAGCAAGGCTGGATTCAAGGAGAAAACTGGGCTATAAAAGTATAAAAACTCATCAGTAGGCCTGCTTTTAAACTAAACAGAATAAACAAACCTGTTCTCCATGTCTGAGTCATTTGTCCTGCATTCTTGCTAATCATTCCTCCCACTTAAAGCTTAAGTGAGGGTTTTACTAGCTAATAAAATGGCTGTCACACACAGCAAGGAAGACATCACTGTTCTCCTTTTGAAACTGAAGAGACTCTCACATTGATGGTTTCATTTTGTAAGAGGGCCAGGGTGGAAGACAATAGAAATAAGGAACATGTCGAGGGGCTGATAAAATGGGAGAGTTAGGAGGAGTGCCTAAATATTTTACCAATAGTTCTAGTACGAGAAGATACAGAAAGACTATTATGATTTTTATCAAGTTTCCCCAGAACTAACAATTACAGATCCTAAGTTAATTAATAATTTTAAAGGAAAATTTTTTTCTATTAAACACACCAGACTTCGGGGATGAACAAAGGTGGGAATTCCACTTTATATGCCCTTTAAGAAGAAAAAAGGTACTGGCTGGTGTGGCTCAGTGGACTGAGTGCCAGCCTGTGAACCAAAAGGCTGCTGGTTCAACACCTAGTCAGGGCACATGCCTGGGTTGTGGGCTAGGTCCCCAGTTGGGGGCGTGCAAGCGGCAACCATCTCACATGGATGTTTCTCTCCCTCTCTTTCTCCTACCCTTTCCCTCTTTCACTAAAGATAAATAAGTAAAATCTTTTTTTAAAAAGAAAAAGAAAAAAAGGCTACAGATTTTAAACATGTTTATAGTCATATTCTAACTCCTGAAACAAATTTATTCTGCTTATTTTTTACTGTTATTATCATACAGTGCGTTTGTGAAGAATTACAATTCCTTGTGATGGTGGTTCTTCTTACCTTGAAGATAACATTTAAAGTCATACAAAGCAGGCTGTCTGATATTTGTAGAACCACTGAATTTTTACACAAATGTTACATTGAAGAAGTCACTCTGTCTAAACTACATTGGAAACACAAGTCATCCAAGCAACAATTCCTTACATTTTCAATCAGTTCCATGACACTGTTCTTCAGATACACCTTCTCCAATCGAGACATGCTGTTCCACCGAAACCTGGCCACCAAAATGCAAAAGTCAACAAAACCACATCAGAAGTCTTCTCTTTATGAGACTAGCTTTCAGTCTTGTGTTAGATTATGTTGGCAATTTCATTAAGAAATTAAATTTTTTATTTCATATTCTTCAAAGAACAGACAAAACAGTCGACACTTAACCAAAATGCTAACAACAGAAAAATTTGGGGGAAATAGTTTTATTTAGACAGGGGTCCATTATCAGCTTTCCCCTCCATTTTCCTGACAGACTAAAAGCAAATGTATACACCTGGAAGAACTGCAACAATGTAATTGTTTTTCAGAAGATACAATCTTGATAGCTAACTCCATTTCTGTGATGGTTTACAAAGTAATACCACAACTCCAGAAAAACTGGCTACTACTTAACTAATTGATTCCTCTGATAAGCTCTGGGGGTAGAGGACTCAAATTAGTGTTTTTAGTTATTCTCATATGATTCTGCTTTGGAGTTGCCACTGAGAGAAAGCACATGTTCAAACTTAAAAAAAAAAAAAAATTAAAGGCAAAATGCCTAATCAGAGATTTGTTTCCTTACACATCGCATCGTTCTAAAAAGGCTTGGAAGATGTATGGCATATTGTAGGAACTCAATAAATGCTGGCTGAATGACAATCAGCTAATATTTGAACGCTTTGTATCTACTATGAAGAAACTGAAGAAGAGAAACATTAAGTCCTGAATGAGAGCTTCAGTGAGGCTGTGATAATCTCTTGGAGATCAGTCCTTTCTTCTTGGGATTGCTCTTTCCTACTCACCTAAAGAGTACCTCTATGAGTTATATAAGAAATAAAGATTTGCTCTCTCATGACTTCAATGGTCACGCCCCAAAGCTCCTTACTTGACAACGTGTTCCAGGATCTGAAGGCCAAAATGTCTGACGATGGCAATTTGTGTCTTTTCAGCCAACCTCAAGCCACAGGGGACACAGACAGGGCACTTTTCTTTAAACTCCTCACAAAACTGAAAGAAGAAAAGTTAATATTCTCCTTAGAAGCCAAGAGAGCAGGGACTAAAAAAAAAAAAACTTCATCTTAACTCCAACCTGAGCTATATTTTTAAATTGCAAAATGTAGATCAATATTATGAGTAAAGAACCCATTAACATTCTTTACACTTTCACAGTTCTAGATTTTCCATGCAACATCCAACTAATAATGTTGAAAGAAAAATGACCTAAAAGACTAAAAAAATGTGTTAGAGATACACCCCTGAAGTATATAGGAGTGAAATGACAATTTCTAGGATTTGTTTGAAAAACTTTTGCTGAAGGAGAGGGATAAAGCAAATTAAAATCTTTGTAACACCTGAGTTTATGCGACAGGTATACACAAAATCACTGTAGTCTACTTTTGTGTCTATTATTAATATTTTATAATTAAAAAAACAAGTACAATCCAACTGTTTGATTCCAAATTCTGTGACACTCACCTATATATTGTAAAGTTTCTTCCAAGTGATGCTCACTGTATATAACAAACTATGCACAGCACAAGTATTCTTTCCTAATGGTTATTTCATTTCTCACAGCCCACACACATTGTTTGATGGGGGAATATGCTCATATTGCATTAGCATTCCCACTTGTATTAGCATCCCCAAACTGCAGCACAAGAGTCAGTCCTAGGAGCAGAGCGACCGGGACTCAAGAAAACTACTTTCAGGAAATCAAAGTGCCCTTGCTAAAATGCAAAGCAAGTGGTTGGAAATTCATCTTTGCGCAAAATAGCCTAAGAATATCACACAATAAAAAAAATATGGGGGGAGGGAGTGTGAGAATTAGCCCAGAAATACCCGACCCATAAGAGGTTAGGGAGGGGTGTAAAGATGTAAATAAAAGGACACTATGGGTCTGGCGATCATTTAGGGCGGCTCAAGAGTGCAGGTTAGCCGGGAAACACCTAGGGCTGGGGAGACCGTAAAGAATGTAGCTGGTGCTGGGTACGGGATGGACACGTGCGCCACGGCAAGGCGAGGGGATGCGGGGATGTGGGGCTCGGGGGAATAAAGTAAATGCAGCCAGCTGTGGAGGGGGGCGTCGGAGTGCGAATAGTGAACAGAAGTGGGGAAAGGGGGAGGACAGGGCAATGCGAAGTGGTGGTGCGATGAGACCGCCAAAAGCAGTTAGGGACCGACAAGTCCCGGGAAAAGGGCAGGCGCGGCCAGCAGAAAAGGCTGGCAGTGGGAAGAGCCGGGGAGAGCGGTGAAAGAAGGCCCCTCGGGGTTGGGGGGGGAGGTCCAAGGGCCGCGTGGGCAGGAGACGACCAGGGTTGTGGGCGGCGCCAGAACAGCTAGGCTAAGGGAGGGTCTCGGGGCAGGCCCCGCGCGCCAGACCCCAGCTACCTTGAGGGCTTCCAGCCGGTAGCGCTGGGTGGAGCTGGGGTCCATCATGACCGTCACCGCTTTCACCAGCTGCTCGCACAGTGCGTTCACTTGATCCATTGCCATGGCTACTGCCACGCGCCGGGAGAGAGTACTACGGCCGTCCCGGGAGCACAGGGTACAGACGGCTCCCTCGCCGTGATAACACGCTAGTACCGGGCCGCGGCAGGGTGGGGGGGAGAGGGGGAGGAGGAGCCGTGTGCGGCAGAAGATCCAGCCGGGAAAGAACCGGCGGGGCACACGCGCCCGATCCTCCACTACGCACGCGCCGGCGGAAGTAGCGGCTGACTAGTGACGGTTGCCCCTGGGTGGGCGAAGCTGGAGACGGAAGGGCCGCCGTGCGCAGGCGCGTCAACGCCCTTCGCGGCGAGCGCGCAGACTGATATCTGTCAAGAGAGCCAGCTGCAGAGCCCGGTGGCCTCGGCTGAACCAACTGGGGTGTGCGGGGCGCTGCCCGGGCAAGGATCCTGTGCGACCCTTGATCTGTTTCTTCATCCTTACGAGGAATAAACCTCTCGATACTAGCTGACTTGCTCCTGGAAAGGGGACGGATATTCAAGACCCATTCATCTTCCAGTGGACACATAGCCCACCATTTGCGGCGTCCGCAGTTGGCAGTTTTGGCAGGTGTTTGCCACATTGGTAAGAGACTTCGGAAAGGTTAGATATCATTGTTTTCAAATTTTTCGTGTTTCCTTGGCTATTGGTTTTATGATATAGCAGTGAATGGAGACAACAGTGGGCCAAAATTACATGAAATGGAAATACGTGCTCACAGAGCTATACGACCCTGGTATTCTCCTCTAAGAGGATTTTTCTTGTGAGAAAAAAAAAAAAACAAACACCATTTTTCTCTCTAGCTCTTAAACCTCCCTCTTTACTTGTACTTAGTTTCCTTGGATGTGGTATCACCTGATTGGCACCACACTTGTTTTGTACAGATTGGGATAAGTTGAGATATTTAAAGACGAATAATTATTTCAATTATTAAAAGTTTGAGCAGTGTTGATCTTTTAAAGTGCTTGCTGTATGTGACTTCACAAGTAGTATAACCCTTATGCTGAAAAATAGGGTTTTGGCAGAGTGTGTTTCATTTTCCATCTTTTAAAAAGCTCTTGCTTTCTCCAGCAAAATATGTAAACTGAAAACTTGAACAGCTTCATGATCTGTTAAAGTGTGCGCGTCGGTTTTTGCGTTTTTGTTCTAATATGTTTGCTGGACTTAAATCACTGCTTCCTATTCATACTCCATTTTTGGTATTTGTGTCTAGTATAGTGCATACCTGTTGGTTTTTTGGGTGAGAAAAATGCATTTACTATTTTTACTCTGGCATCTGTTCCAGTGCTACACAAAAGGCACTTCAAGGTAAAGTGATTTCTGACATCAGATCACTTTATGGTTAGTCAATGTATTACATTCTGCCTGTTTTGGGTAAGTAGAATTTATAGGGAATTAATGCCTTGACTCTCTGATTTTTAAAAATTCATTGTTTTCTTTCCACTAATCTTCCACTTTGTCGTTGCATGCCACTTTTTTCAAGGTTTATGTAAATTTTTTATACTTTAAAAAAATACAGTTGAGTGCTCACTCAACTGTATAACCTGTGTTTCTCATATTTAAATCATGAATTACTGGTATTGCCATAAGTATCTTACATACTTGAGATCAGTGTTTTTCACTCTCTGCTACATGTTAAAAGGGCCTGGAGAGCTTGTAAAAATCACAATGCCCAGGCCATATCCATACCAATTAAATTAGGATGTCTGGTGGTCAATCATAAAAGCCAATATCAATATTATTTAAATGTTCCTAGGTGATTCCAGTATGCAGCAAAGGTTGGGAGCTGCTTCTTTGGTTTACATTCCTTCTTCTAAATTTCTAACATTGTTAAATGATACTATTAGTCTGTATCCACTCTCAAGTATATAAGTTTTATTCTCCCAATCTACTCTCTGTACCTTCATATATGTCTATCCTTGAATAGTATGTAACATTGCTTTCAGAAATTTACATGAATGAGTAGAAAATCACCATTGAAACACTGCAAAATAATGGGTCCAGGAAGGATTCACTGATGGGTGCTTAGTGGTTGAAAGTTTGAGGAGCTCACAGTATCTCCCCTAAGGTTAGTTACAAAGGGAAAACACTAACTTTACAATGAGAAACCTGGCAAACACTCTCAACTAAATGATCATGGTTAATATCATTAATAATAAGACATATTGACATTGTGTACCTCCCAATATGATACACTGAGAAGAGCATATAACTTATGTAATATTCTTGGCAAAAATGCATAACCTTGATCTAATCAATAGAAAACATCAGACCAACTTAAATTGAGAAATATATTGTCAAAGTAACTGACTAGTTTTCTTCAAAAGTGTTAAGGTAATGAAAAACAAGGGAAGACTTAGGAGGTATCACAGATTGGAGAAGATTAAGCAGACATGATGGCTAAGATTGGGTCCTAGATTGGATCCTGGAAGAGAAAAAGGGTATTAGTGGAATAGCTGGTGAAATTCAAGTAGTTGAATATTATACCAATGTTCTTTTCTTTTTTAGCTTTGATAATTGTGTTATGTAAAATATTAACATTAGAGGGAACTGGGTGTAGGAGAGTCCTACTAATTTTGAGTATTTTTTAAGTCTAAAATTATTTTCAAAATAGAAAGTTAAAGAAATTCCTATGAATGCTGTGTTGATGTACTTCACTTTCTGTTTCTCTTTTCCCTGAATTTATACTTGAGACTTGTCTATGAACTAGATTAACTGTTGGCTTAATCCCTCTGTTGACGTGCATTTTGGTTTTCATTCGCATTTCCCTAAGACTAATGATGTTGAGTTCATTTTCATGTGCCTACTGACTATTTGTATATCTTTTGTGAAGTGTTCAATTCTTTTGGGAGATGGATATTTTTAAAGCTTTTAATACTTATTACCTTCCTAAAATTGTACCAATTTATTGTGCTCCTTCTAGCAGTAAATGAAAATGCCCATTTCATTCTTGTTAGTTTCCAGTCTCTCATGCTCATGGTAACTCAGCACTGGAAGAAAGGAAATACAGTTTTCCTTGGCACTTTGGATTAGCTATCCTTTTTAACTGTCTATAAAATATTATCTTACAGAAACATGGCTAATGGACAAGACCGGGTAGTAGCTTTACTGGACATGGACTGCTTTTTTGTTCAAGTGGAGCAGCGGCAAAATCCTCATTTGAGGAATAAACCTTGTGCAGTCGTACAGTACAAATCATGGAAGGGTGGTGGGTATGTATCATAATTATTGTTATAACTGTCAATTATTGTTTTAATTTATAAGAATGCATGGCACTATAGTAGGCACTATTTTTGAGATTAATGAACTGCTGTGTTTGAGATCAAATAGTGGCACCTATGGTCAAAAAGTTTCCACCGTTAATGTGTATAACCTGTACATGTTAAATTTTAGTTACTTTTGCCTGTGATCATGTAGTAGTTTTGTTTCTTTTTTTCTAACCTTAGAATAGTTGCGGTGAGTTATGAAGCCCGTGCATTTGGGGTCACTAGAAACATGTGGGCAGATGATGCTAAGAAGTTATGCCCAGATCTTCTACTGGCACAAGTTCGTGAATGCCGTGGGAAAGCTAACCTCACAAAGTAAGAAGAAAAGATTGTTTAAGGGGAATGGAAGGGTTGGAAATAATATTCCATGAGGCTAGGAACTGAGGTTGCAAGTTAGTTTTGTGTAAATAACATCTGAAAGTTAGCTTTGATCAGCCAATTTTTAAAAATTTATTTCTTTATTTTTAGAGAGAGGGGAAGGGAGTGAGAAAGACAGGGAGAGAAACATCCATTTGAGAGAGAAACATTGATCAGTTGTCTCTCACATGCACCTCTGCTGGGACTGAACCCGAAATCTAGGCATGTGCCTTGAGCAGGCATCAAACTGATGACCTTTTGCTTTGCAGGATGACATCCAGCCAACTGAGCCACACTACCCAGGGTGGTCAGCCAACTTTTCAATGGGACATGACAACGGGCTCTGATACTGTATTTCAGGATCAGTTCAGAGTCATTATAATCTGTAACAATTGCTGTTCTTGACACCCTCTCAGTTTCTTATTTAAAAATTGGTTGAATCTAATGAACAAAATAAACCAATGAGCAAAACAGAACCAGAGACATGAAAACATGGGACAGACTGACAGCTACCAGAGGAACCGGGGGTGGGGGATGGAGCGAGGGGGACTGGGGGAAAGAAGGTGAAGGGATGAGTCAAAGAACATGTATGAATGACCCATGTACTTGAACAACTATGTGAGGATGGACTGTGGGAGCGGGGAGTGGGCTGAACAGAGGAGGACAAAGGGGGAAAATTGGGACAACTGTAACAGAATAAACAAGAATTAAAAAATAAATTTTAAAAGATGGATTGTTATAATTAAAACTCAGGATCAACTTCTATGTTGTCAAGCCAAATCTGAAGTATTTGAAGTAATTGACTGTGCAGCTAAGAGTTTTTCCAGAAAAGGCTGAGTCAAATTGACATTCTAATCCGATATCTGGAATTATTTGCCAGAATTGAACAATCTCAAAGGACAGTACCATCTCTGTTTTTGAACTGGCCTGTCTCTTCCCAAATTTTAGAAGGTTAGCCTTGAAGTGGGAGATATGTATAGGCATAGCCAACTTAGAGGTAGATAGAAGCCCAAACCAGTGTAATATCCCAATAGTTTGTATTGAGCATATGTCATATGTCAGGCACTGTGTTAAGCTCTCCATAGGCAGTATCTTAAATTTTACATTGTTACATAGTATGTTCTAGTAGTATGCTCCCTTCCTACCAACATACATACACAGACGAGGAAACAAGTTTAGAGAGGTTAAATAATTCTCTACAGAAAGTAGAAGACTTAGAAGATCAGGTTTTGGTTTTTGTTTTCATATTCCACTATCCTCCACATTGTCATAGTACACTATACCATGTGGTGTGGTGTGTAGAGATCATGCCTTGACTTGGGACTTGAGATATTCCTGAATTCACCTATGAATTGGAAGTCTAAAGGTGGAGTGCCACATTGAAATTATTGCCAGAAAAAAAGACAGATTTGATTGGAACTTAATACCTTAACCCTAAATTAGAATTAATTCAGCTAATGGACATACGCAGCATTGCATTGAATAGAATTTTATGCTGGTAAAGACAATGTAACTTTCCAGAAATATAATTGACTTCAGAGTGTGCATGCAAAAGTCACATGCTACCAACTTTAAACTTTTTGAACAAAAGCAGTTTTAGAAAATTTAGGAGTAAGTTTATAGACCAGAGGATTACTAAGACCTGATGATTTAAAATTATTAGTTTAGCCCTGGCTGGTGTGGGTCAGTGGATTGAGCATTGACCTATGAGCTGAAAGGTCCCTGGTTCAGTTCCCAGGCAGGGCACATGCCCGAGTTGTGGGCCAGGTCCCGAGCTGGGGACATGTGAGAGGCAACCGATTGGTGAATGTCTCACACTGATATTTCTCCCACTCTTTCTCCCTCCCTTCCCCTCTCTCTAAAAATAAAATCTTTAAGATTATTTTAATAATTAACTGGAGATACCAGGTTATTCAAAATAAAAATGTGATCTGCAGAAGTGTATGTACACTAAGTTTATCAAGTATTCTTAAAAGTACTTTGGAGCAATTTGCTCAAGAGGCTGTGAAGGAACTCTAATCAATACAATAGAATATCCTTTCCTTGCTCTGGATATGGGTGAGCATATTACACTCTCATGTTCTTGCACACACTTGAGCTCTCTTTAATTTTTTTCTTTGAGGTCTCTCTCTCCCCAGCCCAAATAATAACAAAAACAAACAAACAAAAAAACACCATCTTTCTCTAATTTCTCTAATTCTCTCATTTGAAAATGTTTTAGAACAAACTTTACTAGTTTTGATAGATGCCTTGGTGAAGGGGTGCACATCTTATTTCCAATTTTATTATAAATAGGTTCAACAGGAATAAAGAACTTGCTTTAATTCCATAGTAAGTGTAAAACAAAGCAAATGTCCACATATTACCATAGAAAACTAGCTACATACAGCCAGAAGAGCTGCTTGTTATGGTTTGAATAGGCAGTATATGGTGAGGTTGGTATCCCCTAGGGGAGGCTATGTGCCTGTCCAGGTGCACTACCACATTCTAGGAGCTTATCTTCAGCTTTATAATCTGAATGCTATTATATTCAGAAGTGATTGGTCTTGACTCTGTGTGTGTGTGTGTGTGCGCGTGCGCGTGCATGCGCACGCGCATGTATGTGTATAGCAAGGACCAGTTCACATGTTAATCAAACTCACCACTGAGTATAAAATCCACATGTCACTTGGTTAATTTATAATGAAAAATACCATCCTGAGGAGAAGAGGATAGTTGGGTTCACTAATCAGTGCAGTGTTCCCTATAAGTTACCTCTTTTTTTTTTTTTTAATATGCTACCTCTTATTTGAAGACAAAAGTAGAAGCAGAATACTATGTGGTACATATGTGAAAATTAAAAAAGGAATGGATGGTCATAGTAAAATGTTTTCTAGTTAAACTAGTTTGAAGCATTTCTTTCCTCGTTAGAGAGATTTTTGTCACATACACATATTCATGGTCTGAATGCTTTTTACCTTAGTGTGCTAGAGTTGCACTACAAATGTTTGCCTCTGTGGTTCTTTTTCCTTGCTTCTGTTACTGACCATCTTCCTGCTTTTTGACCCCTTTATTTGAGTTACTATCTAGTCTCTGACAAGCCATTCCTTCCTTGAAGGAGGTCTTACACTGATTATGTATATTATTATTGTATTATGAGGGAGGGATGGGGCCCACAATCTCAGTGCTGCCCCCCTTTATTGCCTGCATGTATAACCCTTATACTCCTTAGGTACCGGGAAGCCAGTGTGGAAGTAATGGAGGTAATGTCTCGTTTTGCTGGGATTGAACGTGCCAGCATTGATGAAGCTTTTGTAGACCTGACCAGTGCTGTACAAGAGAGACTACAAAAGCTACAAGGTCAGCCTATCTCAGCAGATTTGTTGCCAACCACCTACATTGAAGGGTTGCCCCAAGGCCCTACACCAGCAGAAGAGACTGTTCAGAAAGGTACTTCTGTCGCATCATTTGCTTCTGCTTCCTGCCTTTGGAACCTGCTTTGCTTGGTCACACTGATACTCTTGGATTGACTGAAAAGAAACTTAAACTGCAACCTGAATGAATTACAAGGCTCACATGGAAGGATATGCAAATTCTCTTATCTTTCCAGGTATATAGATTTTTAGAAGCTTGAGATCTGTATGAAATCAAGTTTCTCTTTAGATATGATTAGGACAGGTTAGGGTTATCAACAGAAGTCTGGCACTTCCATTGTTTACAGGGTAATTATATTATTTTAACTTGGTTTCTTTATCATAAGAAAGGTGAAGGGTTTTTTTTGTTTGTTTGTTTTTGTGTTTTTAAGGTTGACCTCAAGTACTGGGAGTTGTGAAAGGCTTCTCTTATTTTATTTTACTTCTTTTTCTCTTTATGGGGACTCCTCCCACTCTCTCCCAACTTCATGCACCCTTTGGCACTACCAATGTATTTTGTCTATCTTAAATATGTTTATGTCTTTATAGTTATACATCGTTGCTTTGTGTATGTGCTTTTAAAATTTGTGCCTTTCAATTACAATATAGTATTGTGTTATAGAGCTCGTTTTTTTTCTTAATTTTCTTTCAGTGGTAATTTTATAGCTTTATCTATATAGCTGTATTTATGCATATTTGGTTGCTTTTACTTATTGCAGCATAATCCATAGTATAGATCTACCAGGTTTACAGACCATTCTCCTGGTGATGAACTCATTGATTGCTTCTAGCTTCCTACTGTTTCTGTGATGACTGTCCTCATTCATGCTCTTCGGGACCTATGCAAGTGTTTCTCTGGGTAATGTTTTCAAGAGTGGACTGCTAGGTGATAGGGTATACACATATACCTAGTTTCACTAAATACTGCCAATTTGCCCCCCAGAATCGCTACAGTGGTTTACCCTACCACCCATAGCAGTACAAAAGAACTCCTTTTTCCCCCATACCCTCATCGGCAATTGACATTATCTAATGTTTAAAAATCTTTGCCAGTGTGATGGCTATAAAGTGGTGTTTTGTTTTTTTTTTTTGTATTTTTAGTTTGCTTTATTTTATTAATTGAGGTTGAGCATCTCTTCTTATACTTGTTGGCCAACTGAGTTTCTACTTTCTGTGAATTGCTTATTTATAATTTTTACCCAATTTGCCATTGGAGTTCATGCCTTTTTTTCCCCCCAGGAGTTCCTTGTGTATCCCAGTGATTAATCAGTCCTTTGTCTGTTTTGACATTGCAAATGTCTTTGTTTATGTCATAATTTGTTGAACAAAATTCTTTAGTTCATCAGTTTTTCACCTTATGGTTTGTGCATTTTGAATCTCATTTTAGACATTCATTTTCTACTAGAATTTCACACAAATATTTTTCTACATTTTCTTCTATTTGCCTTCTAGTTTATTTTTAGGTTTTCGGTGATATGGAGTTCACCTTTTTTATTTCAGTTAGGGAGTCACCTAATTATTATTTTTGGTGTGAGCTAGTTTTGGCAACAATTATATATTAAACAATTCATTCTTCCTCAACTCGCATATAGAAGTGGGTCTGTTTTTGCAGTGTCACTTCAGTCTGTCTGCTCCTGCTCCAGAAACGCACTGTTGTTATTATTGTTTGTAATATGTCATAATATTTGATAAGGACTCCCCTCTGCTTTTATTTTTCAAAACTTTCTTAACTATTTATGCACCTTTATTGTTGAGTATGTATTTTAGAATACATTAGGTGAATTCCTCAAAGAAATCTTGGTGGAATTACATTAAATTTACATATTTAGAGAGAATAGTTATCTTAATGTTAAATTATCCCATCAGTAACCATATCTCACCAATGTTTTAGGTCTTCATTTATATTCCTTTTAATACATTTAAAAATGTTTATTTATTGACTTTTGAGAGATAAACATCGATTTTTTTTCCACTCATTTATACATTCAATGGTTGATACTTATATGTGTCCTGACCAGGGGTTGAACCTGCAACCTTGGCATATTGGGATGGTCCTCTAACCAACTGAGCTACTTGGCCAGGGCACTTTTAATGAATTTTTTAAATAAAAAATTTTCACTTACCTGTTGCAATATATGAGCTTCTTCTGAGATCTGGAATCTAGTATGTTTCCTTTTTTTTTTTTTTTTTTATCATCTGAACTTTTGATAGATATAAAATACACAAATTGTAAGTGTACACCCTGACTAATTTTCACAAAGTAAACCAATTTGAGTAAGCATCACCCAGATCAAAAAATGTCAGAACCCTAGGAACCACCCTTGCCTGACCTTCCAATCACCACCTATCCCTCCCCTGCCCCCCCTCCTTTTCTACGATAACTTTATAAAATTGACCATATGCAGTATGTCCTTGAGTCTGGCTTCATTCACTCAGCATTTTCTTTGTGAGATTCATCCACTCTTTTGTATGGAGTTGAGGTTGTTTACTCTCATTGCTGTGCATAATTCTATGATATGAATATACTACAATTTACCCATTCTAATATTGATGAGTATTTGGATTGTTTCCAGTCTTAGGCTACTAAGAATAGTGCTGTTATGAACATTTTTGTAAATATCTTTGGTGAACAAAATGTATGCTTTTCTGTTGGGTATGTGACTAGAAGTGCTCAGTTGTAGGGCTTACCTAATTTAGCTTTAGTTTGTCTATAGTCAGCTTTCATAGATAGTACCAAATAGTTTTCAAAATGATTGTACCAATTTATAATCTCAGTAGCAGCATATGAGAGTTCCAGTTATTCCATATCCTTGCTTCTTTTCTCTTTTGTTTTTTAGTCTTTTTGATAGGTATAGAGTGATACCACATTATGGTTTTAGTTTGTATGTCCCTTACACCTTTTTGTAAGTTTATTGACCTTTTAGAGATCTCCTTTCAGTAGAGTGTGTGTTTTAGTCTTTTGCTCATTTTTTTCTTGGATTGTCTTTTCTCCTCCTATAGGACTTTTTTATACTAGATGTGCATCCTTTGTCAAATATTCATATGGTAAATATCTCCAGTCTGTGGCTTTTTTTCTCCCCCACTCTCTTAATGGTGGATTTTGATGAAAAGAGGTTTTTCATTTTAATTTGGTCCAATTTCTTTTTCTTTTCCCTTATGGATAGCATTTTTTTATATCCTATTTAAGAAATCTTTTCCTATTTCAAGGTTTTGAAGAAATTCTCTGTCTTATTCTAGAAGCTTTATTGTTTTGCTTTTCACATTTAGATTTACAATCCATTGTGTAAATGTCTGTAGGGTATGAGGTAGGAATCGAGATTCCTTTTTTTATTATATGAATAACCAATTATAACATCTTTATTAAAGCTTTAATTTTTCTGTAAAGATCTTGTGCATTCATTTGTCATAGTTCCTAGATGTTTTAATTTTTTTATTGCTATCATGATTTTTTTCATTTTCTACTTGATATATGGGGAATGAGAAATTATTCTTTTAAAATGAGTTATCTTTATTTACTTTACCTACTTGGCAAAAACTTGTGATATAATCTGTATGAAAGAAAAAGAAAATGTACTTGATGGTTAAAAATATTTTTTTAGACGAGTAAAATTAGGGCAATACAAAAATTGCTTTTGTGGTAATATTAGATTATGATGGTTCTAGATATCAGATCTAAGAGCATCTGGATCTTACTTTTTTTAATCAAATATTATGAAAATAGAATTCAGCTGATTTCCCAAAAAAATCTGTGTCTAGAGCTTTTCAACTGGGTGTTCACACTTTTTACTTAGACATTTTCTAGTACTTTTGATCATGGCTATATTCAAAACAGTGTATCTATTCTCCTCTTTGTAACATGTAGTTTTAGATTATTTTGTAACATTGTTCTTATTCAGAACAGCTTTCAGTTAAAAAAAAGAAAAAGAAAATAAAAAGAAACACCTTTAACTATTGGACATTAGCCAAAAGGAAACTGGATACAAATCTGTGGCAAGTTAACTTCTTGGGGGGAAAATAAGGCAATCTGTTATTACTTGTTGAAACAATACAGATTTCTCCAGAAATTAGCTTATTTCTAGTTACAGTGGTGAATTTCCCATGGGTTTAATGTTTTTAAAAAAAGATGTAAAGTATTAAAATAAGTATTAAAGTTTCCTTTGCTGTATAATTTGCCATTAACATGTTGTGTTGAAGGGTAGTAGAACTGTCTAGGGAATCTTGTGGGAATGAGCATTTAGAAATTTTTTTATTCTCTGATTCTGATATAGAAGAGTTTATCAAGCTGGAGTCTGTAGATCCTTTAGTTCTGTACGGAAAATACAATGGACAATAAAAATGTGCCACTTAAAAGAGACAAAGTTATCATACATAACCATTTGATGATGAAACATGTCATGAATCTTTATTATTCTGGAACCAGAGTCAGAGATCCTACTGATCATAATAAGGAAGGTTTTCTTTGGTCTTAGCTTTGTGTATCACATTTTATTGTGTAGCCTTTTTTTTTTTTTAAATAAACATTTGGAATTTCTTTTACAATGCTTTAAATCATCAGATCTTTAAAGGTTTTTTTTTTTTTTTTTGAGGGCTACATATCATTTTGAAAACCTGTCTTGTCTCAGAAAAATACAAATCTACACATAAGACAGTTTAGTGTGCAATTTTCAGGAGATTCACAGATCCTCTGAAACCCATATACCTCAGAATGAGAACTGTTATTACACATTCCATTGGTATTTGGCTGAGACTCAAACAGCTTTCTGGCTGAAGATGATGGAATATAACTTTTGTTGGTGGTCCAATATTAACTCAAATGGACATGCTCCTCTCTCTTCTTCACCTATCTTTCTTACCCATATACATTTTTATTTTAAATGCCAGTGTTTATTTAGAAGTTAAAGAAGTCATATTTCTATGTGTTAGGTATCTGTTGCTTTAGAGTGTATAGTTTAAATATTAAGCTTACAGATAGATGCAATGATACCATCTTATTATTTATAGTGTTCAGAATATTGCTATGTCTAATAAATGGTTTATGAAATTGCATATAATATTCCTGAGTCATCTGATGTTGCAACAACAAAAAACTGGTAACAGAAGTTAGCTGATCTATGTGCATATAACCTTCACCATCTTGCCCTTTTTTTTTTTCCTTTTTGGAGAGAGAAAGAGAGAGAGGGAGGGCTGGGGGAGGGAGAGAAAGAAACATCAGTTTTTGTTCATTCCACTTATTCATGCACTCATTGGCTGTTTCCCATATGTGCCCTGACTGGGGATCAAAGCCCCAACCCTGGCGTATCAGCTGATGCTCTAATCAACTGAGTCATCCAGCCAGGGCACTGTCCTGCCTCTTAATGAATTCAAAGCTAGCAGTCCTGCTCAGCCAAGTTGCTTTTGCAACTTTATATTTTCTGTTTCTGAAATAGTTATGTGTGTGTGTGTAAAGTTTAAGGTGTGGGGTTACTTAAAAATAATACTCAAAAATTGCCACAGTAAAAATATTTCCCTTCAGAACCAATTTGTAACTAGTCTGTGTTAGCTAAGGAACTCATTTGTTCTTTCCTCCCTTTGCTTGCTCTTAATTCTTTTCTTTCTAAGCACACATTGGATATCTTCTGAATGTACATGAAATGAAACAGTAGGGTATTGATATAAAAAGTTATAAATCAGCTGTGAAAGGTAGAGTCCTTGCTGGCTTTGAAAGAAGCAAGCAGCCATGTTGTGACAGGGCCTTTGGAGAAGGCCTCACGGCTAGGCTCTGATGGCTGCCTTTTGCAGACAAGCCAGCAAGAAAACAGGGACCTCAGTCCTATAACCTGCAAGATGATAAATTCTGCCAACAACTCGATGGAGCTTGGAAGGCACTAATCAGCTTGTAGCAGAGAGGAGGGCACACCTGTTATCAGTACAGAGGCTTCTTTTTTTGTAGTTATGGTTCCTGGAGTTGTAGGGTCTAGCCAGAGATTTATCAGTCTAACCCTGAAGTTTTGACACAAGTCATCAACACTCTTAGGCCTGTTCTTATTAAACATTATACTGAGTACAAGAAACATGGTCCAATCAGAACAGAAGAGGAAATAAAGGATACTTAGATATGAAGGAAAAAGTAAACTTTCTTCGCAGGTGACATGACTGTATTTGTAAAAAGTCTACTTCACCCCCTGCCCCTGAAAAAAACTAGAATAAGTAAGATCAGCAAGATTACAGGGGAGAAAGTCAATATTAGAATCAGTTTTATTTCTATATACTAAAATTAAAAAATGGGAAATTGAAATTTAAAAAGCAATATCATTTGCAGTAGCATTAAAATCATTATCAGCAGTAATTTTAACAATACATGTGAAAAACTAGTGAAAATTACAAAACATTACTGATAAATGAAAGACAGTGACATCAATGGAGAGACATACTATGCTCATAGATTAAAAGACTAAATACCATTAGAGCTCATCTCCCCAAATTTGCCTACAGATTTTTAATTTTTATTTTTACTGATTTTAGAGAGCAGAAGTGGGGGAGAGAGAGAGAGAAACATCAACTTTATTGTTCTACTTATTCGTGCAGTCCCTGGTCCTTCCTTGTATGTATCCTGACCAGGGATTGAGCCCTCAGCCTTGGTATATGAGGGCAATGCTCTGACCAACCGAACTACCCAGCCAGGGCTGGCCTACAGATATATTGCATTCTCTTCCAAAATCCTTACTGGATTTTGTAGAAATTGATAAACTGATTCTAAAATTTGTATGGAAATGCAACGGATGTAGAATAGGTAAACAACTTTGAAAAAGAACTAAATTGGAAGACTTATACTAGTGCCCCCAACTTGTTGGCACCAGGGACCGGTTTCATGGAAGACAATTTTTCCAGGGACTGGGGCAGAAGGATGGTGGGATTGTTTTGGGATGATTCAAGCACATTACATTCCAGCTCACCTCCTTTTGTGGGCTTGGTTCCTAACAGGCCCGGACCACCGGTCCATAGTCTGCAGCCCGGCGGTTGGGGGTCCCTGACTTATAGTACCTAACTTTAAGATTTAACTACAATTTTACAGTAAATAGGGCAGTGTGGTGTTGGTATCAGATGAGATATACAGATAAATGGTACAGAATAGAAAACACACCAATAGGTTCCCACATTTTTTTTTTAATCAATTGGTTCCCACAAAGGTACCTAGATAATTCAATAGAAAGGATGAAAGTCTTTTCTCATTGTAGTAGTGAATCTTCTCCTTTTATCTCAGTGTATCAAAGAAATGCCAATTTTTTTATAGGTTCTTATCAACTAGAGAAGAGAAGGAAACAAAGGAATGTTGCTAATCTGTGGTCCTGTTCAACTGACATGGATACAGAGTAACAGAGGTTTGCAACATTACCAAACCCAGGAGAGCAATAACGAAGAAATCTAAAACAGGGAAATGTTGCTCTACTAATTAAGAAAAAGAGCCCATCACTTCTTGGCCTTTTGGCTAAGATCAGGTGAAGAAAACAAGCCCAGAAAACCCTACAACTTCAATAAATTATATTGTTTCCCAAACCTAATACTAAACACTAATATATGGTTTTAAATGATGTTGTACTTATTGTTCTATGAGGTACAGTATACAGTCCTATGAGGGACAGTACTCTCATGTTTATAGACAACAAAACTAAAGCTTGGAGAATTATGTAACTTGCTCAAAGTCACACAGTAAGTTGTGAAGGCAATATTTGAATCTGTCCTGACTGCAGAATGTGTTCTCTTAACAGTTATGCTATACTTGTTACAGATAAGAACTAAAGGACTTTCTTTAGCTAGAATAGTTGAAGAGGACCTCCTCATAGGTAAGACTTGAGATAAGCCCTGAAGTATAGATAAGATTTATTTAAGCAAAGGGGAGAAGAACAGAATTAAAGAGTAAGAACAGGAAGATAGAATAAGTGATGTCTTGAGATAGAAACATGGTATGTTCAGGAAATTGAAAGGATATAACAAATTTGGGATTAGTGGAAGACAAATCGAAAAGGGCAGATAGTCTTCAAAGCCCATTTACAGAGTTGGTACTTTATTTCATAAGTGTGAGACAGCCAATGGCAATTTTGAATAGGCAGTTAAGATTGATAACACTGGTATTTGAGAATATTTAATTTGTTAGCACTGTGTAGAATGCATTCAGGGTCGTCTAAGCAAGAATGAAAAAAAAATGGAATAAAACAAGGTGGGTTGAGATGGATATGTGAAGTATTTTGAAGTGGGTTTTGTTAACTAAATAATGAGGAATAAAAGAAAAAAAGAAGACAATATTATTTGGATTTTAAACCATTAATAGAAATAAGGAGTTGTCACCCTGCCTGGTGTAGCTTAGTGGACTGAGTGCAGGCCTGCAAACCAAAGGGTTGCCAGTTCAATTCCCAGTCAGGTACATGCCTGGGTTGCAGGCCAGGCTGCTAGTAGGGGGCATGCAAGGGGCAACCACACATTGATGTTTCTCTTCCTCTCTTTCTCCTTCCCTTCTCTTCTCTCTAAAAATAAATCTTTTTTTTTTTTATTAAGAAATGGGTTGTTTCAGAAAAGAATCTTTGAGGAGAAAGACAATAAAGATTGATTTTAGTTATGTTTAGTTTGAAACTATAGTGGAACATTCAAGAATTTTTTTCCTTTTTTGTAGGGAGGTAGAGATAAGGGATTAGTGTTTTTTTTTGGCAGGATTGAGATTAAGATTTGTACATACTCATCTTAAGTAAATTGAAACATAAGCCAGTACCAGTTCACCAACAGAAAAAGAAGATATACCAAGAAGAGCAGAAGGTTGTTCAGTATCCACAATTAGGGTGTTAGAAGAGGAAGACAAGCCAGCAAAGGAGAGAAGCTTAGCAGCCCTCAACTTTTGGGAGATATTTCCTTCTAGGTGCTCATCTTTCTCTTCTATATATTTGAACCTTCATTCTACCTTTCCAAGATACTTTGAGTATATTATTTTGCCTTATTCATACCTCATTACTGCCACTTTAAATCAGCACGTCTATATTCCCTATGTACCTGTCTTCCTCGCTATATAATTATGTATATAATTATGTTTATGCTTTTTCAAAATTGTGACTACTTCTAAATTAGTAAGCTATTTTCAAGGCCCTGAGTCCAAAGCTATATCTAATTTAAACAGCTTGTCAGGAGAATAAATCTTCTTGTGTTTCTGATGGGATTTTAAGATACTCAATTGGAACGTACCTCTAAAAATATATACAACATACTGACTTAAGTTTACACTGAAGTGTGAGTTAATTCTGAATGTATTCTAACTGATTAAAATGATAGAATTTTGGGGGAAGTACAAGGAGAAATTGGAGGAAGAAAGTTCAAGAGAACTGGAGAGAAAAAACAGATATACTTTTAAATCATTTATTAAAGATAATATAAAATATTTACGACATATTAAAACAATAAGGTTCAGCCTACGCTGAAGCTAAGGCTGATGGAATCAGTATAAAGGAGAAATTGATCTCTCTTGTAAGTACCAAGTAGTCTTCTAAAATGGCTGCCATTTCTGTGAAAACCTACATATCTAAAGTACCTTAAATCCAAGCATTTCTGCATTAGATAACAAAAATTCTGATTTAGAAACTGTCTAAATGTGACCTCTCAAATTTTTTCAGAGGAGCTGCGAAAACAAGGCTTACTGCAATGGCTCAGCTCTCTTGAGACTGAGAACACCGCCTCTCCAGACCTACAGCTCACCGTGGGGGCAGTGATTGTGGAGGAAATGAGAGCGGCCATCGAGAGGCACACTGGGTTTCAGTGTTCGGCTGGAATTTCACACAATAAGGTGAAGGCTAATGGTAGATTTCCAAGAGAAACGTAGATACCTGTAGTTAAATACAGCAAGGACAGACATGAGGGGCATTTAAATCATTACCCCTATGGTTTGCAATGGGTTTCTATTTAAAATCCACATTGAGGGCTTAAAAAAAAGCGTAAGTAATTCTTTCATATGGGAATCAACGTTGAAAATATATTTTCCTAAGAAGCAGGCTGAAAAAATTTGCAGAAAATGCTTATTTATATAGTTGCATCCAAAGCAGTTCCTTAATGACTGAACTATGTAGGAAGGAGGAGGCTATTCTTCGAATTTTATGTATGAATCTATTTTCATTTGCTGAATATTCTAGTAACATCTCATTTCTTATGTGGAGAGGCCTAGGTGTTCTATGCTTTGATTATTGCCCCTTTCCTAATGAAAGCACTAAGAGAAATGCAATAGTAAAACGTTATGGTTTGAACACTATTCTGATTATGGAATACAATTCTCAATCCAGGGGCGGAATACCTGGCTTTCTGACTACAGTGCGGTGAGGGCCTGGGGTCCTCATCCCCTGATTGGGCTCAATAATTGGGCAGCGACCGATTACTAGTTACTACCTTCTCCCCCTCCCTCCAATAAGAGCAAAGTGACAAACTACTCAGCGAGTTTGGATGTTTGGTTTTTTTATTTTTTGTTTTTATTTTCCTGGTTGAGTAGAGGGAAGGAAAACAAAAGTCCTCATGTGGTAACATAAACCAGACTAAATGTTGCCCAGGACTTCCAGAGAATTTGTCCAATGAATTTAAAGAATGGTTTTATGTTTTCCCTACCAATTTTAATTTGTGAAATGACACCACTGAAATATTTTATTCTTTGAAAAGAATTCTCAAGGATTTAAATTTTTTTCATTTTGAAGTCTTGTTTATAGTATATTTGCTATTGGAGGGTGATTCTGAGCCCGATCTCTACCAGAGATACTAACTTATGGTAGCATGTATTAAATCCAGGACTCAAAGTAGACTAACCATTAATCAAGAAATGTAAATAAATTGGTAAAACAAGTGTGTTCAGAATTTTCATGTGAATATGTTAAGAAGTGCACCATAAGTTTCTTCTGCAGCTTCTCTGCCTTTTACCCTCTTGAAGTGGGAGAAACTTAGGAATACATGTGGGTGGAAAAGTGACTAAAGGAAAACCAAGAATAGATGTAGAAAGAACAATGCCAATGACGATGGTGGTTCATATTTTCTGGTGAAGATGTTGTAGGAAACCAAGGTTTAGAGATGTCTTGAGTTTCTGGTTTTGTTTGTTTTTAATGTGAACACCACTAGGTATAGCCCTTAAGTTGTACCTGTGTGTGTATGTGTATGTTAATATTCACCAATTCTCTGTGTGGGTGTTGACAGCAATGATGTTTTTACACTTTCCATATTCCAGGTCCTGGCAAAACTGGCCTGTGGACTAAACAAGCCCAACCACCAGACCCTGGTCTCACATGGGTCAGTCCCGCAGCTCTTCAAGCACATGCCTATTAACAAAGTGTAAGTATTTGGGAAGCCCCTTAAATTTCATATGCAGGCACACTCTGGTTGCAGTTTCTTCTGTTCCTTACGAAGGATTGGAGCCATGGAAAATTGGTACCAGGAAGGTGGGAGAGAGATAATGCAAGAAATTTTGAGAAACACAGAATTTTTCTTAATGAAACTTCAATTCTAGATTATCTATGGAAGATACTTAATACTGATTTTTTTTTTTTTAATGAACTGATTTTTAGATGTATGTTTAACTTCCCTCTAGGCTTTTTATTCAAGTCTGTTACTAAATAACAAAATAAATAGGAGTTTTACCTCTTTTCTTCTAATGTCCTATCGAGGTGTTCAGGACTACTGACTTGCTCCCAAACTAGGCATGAAAGCAGCCAAATAAAATGATTAACTAGGTTGTGCCTACCAGTTGTTGTGTGTCTCTGTCAAGGGCTTATAATACTGTTGAAGGGACAAAATACAACAGTTCAAAGTAACGGTAAAAATGGTATCACAAGACTATATGTAATTGCTAAATGAATTGTACAAGTAGTGACCAAAGTTCATAGAAGAGAAGAGTAATCTGAGAAGGATTTATGAAAGAGGCATGGGATTTATTTTGAGATTTGGCAAATTTGGAGAGTCAGATGAGATAGAAGAGCAGTAGTGATTTGGACAATGCTTTGAGTACAAAGAGGGAAAAAGTATGAGGTATTTTCAGTGAAATAGGACATAACTAGTTTAGCTGGACCATATTGAGGAAGAGAAGTGAGGGAAATAGTACTGAAAAGATTGGTTGAAGACAGATTATAGGAAGCCTCAAAGGCCAGGCTGAAGATTTTTTATTCTTAAATATAAAAAGTTTTAGCTATAGAAGGGATTTGTTGGAGGGTTGGAATTTTAATCCCCAAATGGGACAATAGATTCTGTACAATTAGTTTTATGTACAGTTGGCTTAATGATAATTAATGACTTTAACCTTTTGTTTTTGCTATTGTTAGTCTTATTCCCAGGTCCTAACTCCCAGAATATCTGAGTTCCCAGAATCATCTAGTCTTACAGTACAATATTAATAGTCTACAGGGCCAATATTTGCTCTCATTTTCCTTGAACCTTCTGGAGAGCTACTTATACAAGCCAAATATTTTGTACCTGCTATTAACTAGATATTTGGGAAATGAACTATAAATTCTTTGTCTTTTTTGTTAGCCGTAATCTCGGAGGAAAGCTGGGAGCCTCTGTCACTGAAATCCTGGGGATAGAATACATGGGTGAACTGACCCAGTTCACTGAATCTCAGCTCCAGAGTCACTTTGGGGAGAAGAATGGGTAAGTAATCCCTAATATTTTTCAATCATAACCATTATGGAAATACTAAATTCAAATATAGACTAAAACATTTAGTAAAACCTAAGCCTAGCTTTAAGTTAGCATTTGTCCCTCAAGGTAATTTTATTGCTCCTTTTGCTTTAAAATATTAGATAACTGCCCTGGCTGGTGTGGCTCAGTAGATTGAGCGCCAGCCTGCAAACTGAAAGGCCTCCGGTTCAATTCCCAGTCAGGGCAGATGCCTGGGTTGCAGGTAAGGTCCCCAGTTGGGGGTGTGAGACAGGTAACCAATAGAGATGTTCCTCTCACACATCGATGTTTCTCTCCCTCTCTTTCTCCTTCCCTTCCTCTCTCTCTAAAAATGAAATCTTTAAAGAAATCAAATATTAGATAGCCATGACCTGTCAGTCTAGTTTTTTTCATGTATTTTAATAGGTTCATTGGAACTGTTACTTCTTTTTCAATTTTTTTTTTGAGAGAGAAACATTGATTTGTTGTTCCACTTATTTATGCATTCAGTGGTTGATTCTTATATATGCCCTTATAACCCACAACCTTGGCTTACTGGGATGATGCTCTAACCAACTGAGCTACTGGCCAGGGCCAAGGAACTGTCACTTTGAAGCTTGGATATATGAGGTCTGTCCAGAAAAAGACCAGCCATTGTTAATATAACAAGAATAGTCTGTGTGACATCAATGTAACTTGGCAGCCAAGGAGAGTGGACTGGAATGCACATGTATGAACAATGATGACTTCACTGTACTAGTCAGTGGGGGTGGTAGACGCAGCTGAGTGAGCATGTGTGCCGTGTGGCCATCACATTCAAAATGACTGAGCAAGTAGAGCAACAAACTTGCATCAGATTTTATGTTAAGCTTGAACATTCCTCCATGGAAACTATTCAGATGATTCAGAAGGCCGCAGCTATGGGCAACTGGTGATTGGCAGTTTCATCACAACACTGCTTCCGCTCATGCATCACATCTCATGCAGTTTTTTTGAGAAACATCAAATCACCCAGGTGACTTGGTTCCCCTACAGCCCAGATTTGGTGCCCTGTGATTTTTGGCTTTTCCCAAAACTAAAATCACCTTTGAAAGGGGAGAGATTTCAGACCGTCGATGAGATTCAGGGGAATGTGATGGGGCAGCTAATGGCAATTGGGAGAACTGTGTGAAGCCCTAGGGTGCTACTTTGAAGGGGACTGAGGCGTCATTGTCCTATGTACAGTGTTTCTTGTATCTTTTATCTTCTCCAATAAATGTCTCTATTTTTCATATTACATGGCTGAATACCTTCTGGACAGACCTTGTATCTATGTATGCTAATATTTCCTTAAAATCCTTCTATTTAGGCTTATTAAGTATCAAAAAACTTGGGGATATTAATCAGTGGTTTGCTCGGCACTTTTCAAAAATACAAATGATGACTTGGCTTTGGAAAGTGTAACCAGCATTCCTCTCCTCGGCAATTGATATATTGCATTGGAGTTCATTAGGAAGGGCAGGGATTCTGTCAAAGGCAAGGTATACTTAATTTTGGACAAACTTTACCTTTTTCCTGAAGGGGATAAAGGGGTAATATCATATACATATATTGTTTAAACAAGAATAATCATTAACTTTTACCTTAAAGAGTTTTGCTGGTTTTATTAGATCTTGGCTATATGCCATGTGCCGTGGAATTGAACATGATCCAGTTAGACCCAGGCAAATTCCCAAAAGCATTGGCTGTGGCAAGAACTTCCCAGGACAAACAGCTCTGGTTACTCGGGAACAGGTAGGCAGACATTCTTGACAGAACATTGCCTCTTCTAAGGGGGTTAGTGGGTACGTTTTGGTAACTGCACAGGGTTTAATTAGATGGAATTAGTATTAGATGAAACTTTTATGCTGTAAAGTATGAAGAGGATAGTTGTTTTTTGTGTCCTGAAAGTTGACAAGTTTGTTTATTTTTCCTTTTTTTCCACCTAAAAAGAAGTAAAATGGAAATGACTGAAATTTGAAATGGAATTGCTTATTTTTTAGTAAATGAAAACTTGGAAGGCCTAGGGTATTGTGCCTCAAATATGTGTGTTTTTTTTTTTTTCTTTCTCAGGGCTGGAACATGCCTGAAATTCACCTGATGGCATGCCAGCAGGGGGAAGAAAAAAGAAAATTTTGAGCTAGGGCAGGTTAGAGTTCTGAAAATTTCTATGATCTGTTGATCCTTTGGTTTTGGGGAAAAATTTATTGCATACTTCCATTTGGGAGAGAGATTAACAAATCCACCATCTAGTTCTAGAATAAACCTGTGGCTTTTAAGTGAACAGTTAAAGTCTCAATACTTTTTTTTTAGGTACAATGGTGGCTTTTGCAATTAGCCCAGGAATTAGAGGAGAGACTAATAAAGGACCGAAATGACGTAAGATTTTTTCTTTATTCCTGGGGTGAGATTTGGGATTTAAATACCAGTTTAAAATATCTTACTTTATAGAGTAGAAGGAAAGATGCAAAAAGATATCAGCTAAAAAATTTTAAGAAACCTTTTGCCTTCTTCCATAAAACTCAACATGATCTTCAAAAGCCTGGATCTGTGAATGTAAAGACTATTCCTTCATTACTATGTACCTCAACCTTTTTGTGGATCTTTATCAGAGGAAAGAGCCATTAAGCAGAACATTTAGGTATTAGACTGTAAATTACTGGACTTAAACCTAATCCATGTGACCCTGGCTGGTATAGCTCAGTGGATTGAGCATCAGCCTGTGAACCAAAAGGTTGCTGGTTTAATTCCCAGTCAGAGCACACGTCTGGGTTGCAGGCCAGGTCCCCAGTTGGGGCCGTGCAAGAGGCAATCAGTTGATGTTCCTCTCATACTTCTCTCATCTTTCTTCCCCCCCTCTCTCTAAAAATTAATTAATTAAAAAATCATATGCAAGTAAAAACCTAGACCATGTGAGAAAGAAGTACTGACAGTTTTAGAGACAGAGTATTAACTCAGAGACTTGACATCTGATGGTTTGTTTCTTTATCCACTTTTCTGGGAAAAAAAGAACAAAACCATTTTTTACTGATGTATATTTTACATACCATAAAATTCACTTGTTTAAAAAAGTTCACCCATTTACAATATATAGTTCAGTAGTTTTAGTGTTTTCCAGTTGTTCAACTAGTTGACAGTTTAAGAACATTTTCATCACCCAAAAATAAATCCTGTACCTATTAGCAGTTGCTCCCCATCCCTAGGCAATCACTAAGTCTCCTTTCTGTCTGTATAGGCTTAGTATTCTGGACAGTTCATAGAAATGGAATAATACAGTATGTAGCCTTTTTGAGTGGCTTGACATCTTTAAGTTATCGTAATATTTTTAAGTTTTACCCACATTGTAGCATGTATCAGCACTTTATTTCTTTATGTAACTGAATAATATTCTATTGTGTAAATATTTCTATATTTTGTTTACCCATTCATCAGTGAATAGCTATTTGAGTTGTTTCTACTTTTTGGCTATTATGAATAATGTTGCTATGAATGTTCATTTATAGCTTTTTTTGTAGACATGGTTTTCATTTCTCTTGCTCCTCTATCCCTAGGAGTAGAATTACTGGGTCACATGGTAACTCCGTTTAGTATTTTGAGGTTGTTGCTGCACTATTTTACATTCCCAGCCATGTGAGAGGGTTCTAATTTCTCTACATTTTTGTTATTGCCTTTTAAAAATTTTTAGCCCTATTAGTGGGTGTGAAGTTTGTGGTTTTCAGGTGCTTATTGGCCATATTCTTTCTTATCCTTTGGGGAGAAATGTCTATGGAGATCCTTTACTCAATTTTGAAATAGGTTGTCTCCTCATTGTGTTTTAAGAGTTCTTTATATATTGTGGGTACAAATCACTTGTCAGATATATAAGTTGCAATTTTTTTTTCCCATTCTGTGAGGTTTTGTTTTTTTAATTTTTTTTCTTCTTGATGGTATTGTTTGATGTGTCCGTCCCTTTTGAAACATCTAGGAGTCCTACACATCAACTGTATACTGTCAGGAATCATCCAAAACTACTTTTATGTGCTCCCTTTTAGCTGAATGGGTTGTAATTGTTCTTTGGTAAGTAACATAAAGAGGGGTGTGATCCAGGTTGTATTGGGGGCCTATTTGACTTTGCCCAGCAGGTGTCGCCCCGTTCTCATCTCTATTAGCCTCTGGGACTTCCCAAGGCAGTCGCTATACCTGAGAAAGTGAATCTGTCTTTAAGCTTAAAAGAGCTTTATGCCAAAATTAATTCTGGACATAGAATAAATGGGCATGTAACTTTATTTAAAAATATTCTACTGGCTTTCCTTTACACATAAGTCATGTGTGGATTTCTTCTTTTATTCTATAATGATCAATATGATTTGGTCTCTGGCTTCTTCTCTGATCTCATTTCCTATCCTCTCTCCCTTCCTCCTCTTTAGCCTCCATTCCACTGGCCTCTTTCCCTTTTATTTAACACCCCAAGCAAACTCTCACCTTAGTACTTTTGCACTTGCTGTTCCTTCAACCTGGAGAATCTTTGCTCTTATATTCTTATTGACTCAGGTCTTGGCTTAAATTTCACCTTCTTCAAGAGGCCATCCCTAGCTACCCTCTTATATAGGCAGCCTCCAGCACTCTCTGCCTTACTCTGCTTTTTTCCCATAGCACTTTGTAGTAATTTCTATTACATGTCTACTTGTTCATTAACTATAGCTCCTACTACAAGGTAAGATCCATTAGGGCTTGGATTTTACTTTGTTCTATCCTGTATATCTAGATAGTAGCTGATAAGTTGTAGGCATTCTGTTATGTTTAAATGGTTTTAGTCAACAAGAACTCCTTTGTAATTGCCAATTTGTATTCTCTCAAGATATACAAATCTGTAGGAATAGTGTTTACAAAATGCACAAAAATGCAAATTGTACTTTTATCCCCTAAAATAGCTGCTCCTGACTGGTTTTGCCTAGGGGTATTTCTTCTCATTAATATCGTTTCATTTTGAGGGGATCCCAATAATAGACTTTTTAAATCTTCTTCTATTTCTGCCTCTTGACCTTTGTTTCTTAGTTTGTTTTGCATCAAGAGTATTCAGATGCTTAGACTTCAGATGCTAGACTTGAATTGATGATCTTGTTTTCTAGAGGCAGGCTCACTACACTTTATCTTCTAGTGATAGGCTGTAAGCAGGAGGTGCCAGTGAAAACTTCTGCTCTTATTAAATATAAGAGCATCAGGGCAGACTAAAGAATAGATCCACTGCTCAATCTGATATCCTAGCTTAGCACTTCCTTTCAGACAATTACTTATAAGAGCTCTTCCTTCAGTCACAAAATAGAATATAGTACTGTAGGTATTTGTTATAATCTTCCTACATAGACACTATTAAAAAAGCATTCAGAAGAGTCCATTTTCATTTATTCTGTCCTCTTCCCCTCTCCTATCAAAATTTCCTAGATATTCTAATAATCCATCATCCAAATTATATTTTCTCCAATATCTTCTTACACTCCAAAATAGCACAATTTAAAAAAAAGTTAGATTAAACTTGACTATTTCCAAACCATTCTGTCACCCTAGCTCTTTTAATGTCCTCTTGAAACAGAACCACTCTGGGTCTGTTCCTCTGGGTTCTATTGCCCACAGATGGTAAAACCGTGTCTCCCAATGCCAGAGTCTTATGAAAAGGAAAGGAACTATTTATTCAAAAGTTATATACATTTAGAATAATGGTGGAATTCTGCCATTAAATCCTATTCTCTTTAGAAACAAAAAAACACCCATAGTCACTCAGTTCTGCCTCCCCTTACCAAACTAGGCCAGTCAGGGGTACTATCTCTCAGGAAAAAAAAAATAGAAGTCTGTAACTTAGCTGGGCAGATTCGCATCTGTATTCTGGCTTCTTCCAGTCATCTGTGCTTGGCTAGGCTTCTGCTCTTAATACAAAACTGCATGGCCCCTCCTCATGGTGGGCCAGTGGGGGTCCTTCTGCCTCCTTTCAAACCACGTGGCCAAGACAGCCTTCTCCTCTCCCAAGCCACATGGTTAAAAGAACATGGCTGCCCCACACTTGGGTTTAAATCCTGGCATGGATCTTCTTCAATAACCCCATTTCTGACTCCTCCCACAAAGGGTTACACATGCCAGTACTCTGGTTTCTTCTGTCTTTCTCTGCTTCCATTGTTAGCCTGGGCAGGCTTGGTCCCGTCCTGTGGGGACCACCTCCAAACTGCAAGCACAGATGCAGTAACCAGGGGGCCTGCTCTTCGACTCCTAGCTGCATCACAGGTTAGAGTCACGCCCATGCCCCTGGCTCCAAGAGCAGCAAGCACAGCTATTAGCATTACTAAAATACTGGCCAAGTTTTTTAGATACACAAAGTAACTCTCAATGGCCCTGCTCCGATTCTGCTTCCCAAAAGCCAGATTAGTAGGGGATTTGGGGACCTCTTGCTCAGCACCCTGTTACATTCTCACGCAGTTCAGTATACAGAATCCAGATGTTCACGGTAACTTTCATTCTGTTCTCAATCCTTTTACACCCACAGAATGACAGGGTAGCCACCCAGTTGGCCGTGAGCATTCGTGTGCAAGGAGACAAACGTCTCAGCAGTCTGCGCCGCTGCTGTGCCCTTACCCGCTATGAAGCTCACAAAATGAGCCAGGATGCATTTGCTGCCATCAGGAACTGTAATACTTCAGGAGTACAAACCAGATGGTGAGTTTTTTCCTAGCTCATCTTCTTAGAAGAGACTTATACCCTGTCTTGCTCTAAAATTAGTGGGTATATAAGCTTTCCAGCTGAGATAGGTTCTTTGTGACTCTGGCTCCAGGACCTATTACAGAGGGGAATAGTCATGCACAAAGGAGAGAACACAGTAGAAACAACAGGAAAAAAAAGGCAGCTCGGCTGCAACCTCTTTGCCTATGTTTGGTGTAGTCCAGTTCCCAGGGATAGGCTTGAGATTCAGAGTGAACCAATATCATCCTGCCCTAGCTATGTAGCTCAGTTGGTTAGAGGGTTGCCTTGATAGGCCAAGGCTGCCAGTTCATTCCCCAGTCAGGGCACATACAGGAAACAACCAATGAACACATAAATAAGTGGAACAACAAATCGGTGTTTCTCTCTCCCTCTTTCTCAAATCAATAATTTTTTTAAAAATTCAAAACAAGAATAAATACCATCCTTACCTGCATGAATTTGCAATAGTCTGGGGAACGACCAGTTGCACTTGGGAGTGCAGAATTCAAGTTTTAAGAATATAGCCACCACACTTGGGAACTTCTTTCTCAACTCCTTCATTTTTCTATCTTAAAAGTATCTTCCTTGATAATGAAACTGACCCATATTCATCGATAATCTCTTTCTAACATCCCAACTTAGTTACAAGCTCCACTAGTATAATACCAAATGTCATATAATAAACTTCAGTTGGTCATGTAAAATAACCAAATATATGATTGGAGTGTGTTCATTTACTGTCCAGATATTATTTTCAGTGTTGGAATCCTTTAACTATTTTAACATAGTCTGTTACATTAAAAAAAGGTACTCCAAATTCACAATGGAAATATAATTATGCAAGAAAAGTAAATTGGTTATTTATTTATAGATCTATATTGAAGATTATAAGAAATAAGTTTAGTTAATCACCTAAGTTATTGCTTATCTAAATATATGGGCCAATCACTACTATGTTTACAGACATTCAATATAAGGGGGTCTCTAAGGTTGGAGTCTTTGTTTTTAGAATAATTTACTTAACTTTTACTACCTAGTATATTTATTTATTCTCAAAGATTGAACATTTTTACTGAACAAAATGATAATGGTGATATTGTATTCATATGAAACCTTATAAATTGACAGACTATAATAGATATTATTCACCAAGAGCATGAAACTTATTGATAGAGAAGCATCAAAATGATCTGATTGTAAGACTGTCCCCACGCATGAGACTGGAGGACAGTGAGATACTATACTGTTGTAATAACTTAAAAATAGCATTTACTCTTTACCTCATCGAGGGACTAATCTGTATATAAAAGCACATTTCATCTTCTGAAATTCAACTCATGAAAATTTATTTTGGTAATAGACATAATGAGGAACTTTAAGGGAGAAATTTCTTAAAATGTTTTTGTGACTAGGAGAGATAACCAAAAGCCATTGTGGAATTTCATTTTCCAGAAATTCCAGAGTTGAAAGCCTCTCAGTGTTAGTGTTAGGTGGTGCCCTCTTAAAAACAGGAGAATGGGGGAGATGGTATTTTTCAGGAGTCTTTCTAATCTAAATATTCTAAAAGCTTTTTTGTTGCCCTGAGTAAAATTTCTTGCCCTAATCCTGAATTAAAGCAGTTCTAAGGCAGTTATGTTACAAAAATAATAATACCTAGCTGTCAGGGGATCTAGCTTACACACATGCGACTTGGTTCACCAAGTCAGCGATTTTCAAGGTGTGTGGCCCTAGGGTCAGCAACATCAACATTACCTAGGAACTTGTTAGAAAGGCAAATTCTCTGCCCATCCGAGATTTGTTGAATCGATATTAATTTAATAACCCTAAATTTTGAGAATCAATGCAGTAATAATTGCCTCTTGTGGCAGAACCAGAATCCATTATTTGTAATTCAAATCTGTGACCTGGTGCTAATCTTGTTCTTGTACTTTCCATACAGGTCCCCTCCCCTCACAATGCTTTTCCTCTGTGCTACCAAATTCTCTGCCCCTGCCCCTTCATCTTGCACAGACATCACCGTCTTCTTGAGTAACGACTCAAGTTCTCTGCCAAAGGTGCCAGTTACCAGTCCAGAAACTAAGACCCAGGGAAGTGGCCCATCGGTGACAGCCACTAAGAAAGCAACCACTTCTCTGGAATCATTTTTCCAAAAAGCTACAGAAAAGCAGGTGGTCAAAGAAGTTCCACTTTCATCTCTTACTACCACTACCCAGGCCCTCAAGAGCAATTCACCACGCAAGCCCTCGTTATCTTTCCAAACCAGCTGTACTACAGGAATTGAGCCCTTCTTTAAGCAGAAAAGCGTGCTTCTAAAGGAGAAACAGCTTAATGATCCTTCAGTCATCCCTACACCAAATCTACAGTCTAGCCCTAAAAAGTTACCAAACTATTTTCCAAAAAAATATCCAGATTCTGCCCCTGTCTGTGAAGAGGTTTCCAAGCTCGAATCCTTTAAAGCAACTCCTGCAGAGATGGATTTGACCCAGAACAGCCCAAGCAGGCCTGCCTCTTTCACATCCCAGGCTGCTCCGGAGAGGGCTCAGAAGGCAACTACCACCCCAAGTCTGCTGGCTACTGAGGACCAAGTGGCCTGTGAGAAGTGTGGCTCTCTGGTACCTGTATGGGAGATGCCGGAACATACGGACTATCATTTTGCACTGGAGTTACAGAAATCCTTTTTGCAGCCCCATTCCTCAAACCCCCAGCTTGTTCCTGCCATTTCTCCTCAAGGCAAAAGAAATCCCAAGAGCCCTTTGGCCTCTAGTAATAAACGCCCTAGGCCTGAAGGCATGCAGACCTTGGAATCATTTTTTAAGCCATTAACACCCTAGTGCTGTCCTCAGGCTTGCTGCAGGGTTTTAATATTTTATCGATAATGTGGGAAATGTTTACTTTTTAAAGATATTCATAACTATAAAAATTTTTATAAGAAAAACTATCCAGTTAAATGCAGAGTTTAGGCTCGCATCTCTTCATGGGTATGGATTGTAATTTCATTGCTACTAGAAATGTAAAAATTTACCTTCCAGAGATACAACTGCTCTGAGTTTTTAATCATGAAGTGTTTAGGGAGGCAGTGTCATCGAGTAAAAAATGTGTGGGCCTTGGAGACTAAGAGGTCTGGTTCCAAACCTGATACTGCCTCTTACATGGTAGTGTATGACCTTGGGCAAGTCACTTCCTTCACTTTTCCTCATCTTTGAGATAATGCCCTACAGGTTATTGAAGATTAAGAACAATTTCTTGAAGTACTGTAGCACAGAAGGAACTGAGTTTTTTTTTTAAAATGTTCACCCTACCTGTGTGACAGGCTACTCAAAAGGTACTGAGTTTCATATAAGCTTTTGCTTGAATTATAAGCGTATGATAGCCACAGTTATAGCCATTAGCCCTTCTACCCCTTGCATCTTGTCCTAATGTACAAGATTGTTACTGGACCACTTCTGGAGCCCTGTTTAGACTGGATAAGTCATGACCAGAACCAGATGATCTGTAGAACTTTGCCATTCTGAGTGTGATGTGCAGCAGCAGGAAACTTGTTAAAATCGTCTTGGCTTCACCGCCACAACTGAATCAGAATCTGCGTATTAACCATATTCCTCACGGTGTATCTCAAAGTTTGAGAAATACTGATCTAGAAGATACCAACAGCTGGCGGGGTTTGTAGAGAGCATTTTCTTAAACCCTAAAGTATAAATTTAAGGGGTGAGTACTTGGGCCTTCAGGGTCACTGATGTCTTCACCTCTTTCCTATTTAAGTGACTGTTTAGTTTAGGATTTTAAATTACTGTAGCTTTTTGCACTTGTCCATGTTTATAGTACTATATTACTAATCTCTGCTCTTATATATGGAAAGTCAGTTTTTTTGCTCTTATATGTGGACAGTTTTTTTTTTTTTCTTTTCTTTTCAGATATGGGGAACCTTGAATAAAACTGAAGATGAACTGAGTTAGGTGGCGGTGAGGTAGTGGAGAAGTAGGGAGAATAGCCCTTCAATACATACACACAAACTAATTGCTTTTTAAGCTTATTTATAAACTGAGGGGTATTTAGTTTGAAGGAGGGAAACAATTGAAAATCACTAGGTGTAATGGGAAATTTCCTCCTCCAAAGATACTTTCTTTTTTTATGGCAGTTAGATGTTAATAAAAGACAATATTTACTCTGTACATGATCCTTTGCCTACTAGGTCTGTAGTTTCTTGGAGGCAAGAATCCTTCACAGTGCCTTGCACATAATACATGCTTAATACTAATTGGATGAAACATCTATAATGAAAAATTTTAGATGCTTACCAGAACTGGAAAAATAAAAACATACATACTACTGGGGGACGGGGACAGGGGGCTTGCCTTACATACCTTTTTATCCTCTTAAATGTTCCCTTGACAAAAAGTGGCTCCCTGGAGATGTGTCATTAAGTACTGAGACGATTTCCCAAAATTTCCATTCTTAATCCAGGGAAAGGTTTTAGAAATTTTTTAAAAATTTTTTAAATTAAAAAATGCACATTTGTTTTTTAACAGGTGATTGTGTATAGGTTTTATATTTCAAATCCACTTATGACCTAAGTGAAATTGTTTAATTCAGTTGTTTATAAGGATGAATTACGCCAAGATGTCATCATTCTGCACCTGTTGTCATTGATAGCAGGCCAGATGCCCAACTGGGGTCCTGCTGGGGGCTTATCGATAGGAACATGTGAAGAAGCAACGATGGCAAGAGGGTATTTAGACTATAAATAATGAGAGTTTATGAGGATCATTTGAATTTTAATTTGGGTGAGGCAACTCTTCACTAACCTACACTCTGAAGGCCTTTGAGACATTTGCTCCTACTCATCCACAGTGGTGTCAAACCCGTGGCGGGGCCTCAGAAGTGATGATCCTCACAGCAGCTCAGCCCTCCTGCTAACACTTCTGTCCTCCTTCCCTAGCAATGTGCTCTAAGCAACAGGGGACTTTTACTTTTGTGCCAGCAGCTGGAAATAGGCTCTTTGGTGGCTCTGCTGCCAACTTTCTGGAGTTCCCTTGGTATAAAAAGGTACACTTTGTATTAAGTTTGGAATTTATTCCTTTACCTCCCCTTGACTGGAAAAATAATGTGATTAATCTGTTTGTTTGGTGTATGTTCTTTCTTTACTTGGCTTATTAAGAGAACTATTGTACCCTGGCGGTGTAGCTCAGTAGACTGAATGCCAAAAGGTCGCCAGTTCAATTCCCAGTCAGGGCACATGCCTGGGTTTCAGGCTGGGTCTCCAGTTGGGGGTGTGAGAGAGGCAACCTACCGATGTTTCTGTCGCACACTGATATTTCTCTCCCTCTTTCTCCCTCCCTTCCCCTCTCTCCAAAAATAAATAAATAAAATGTAAAAAAAAATACTGTATGCTACTCACTGGCTTATGAAATTGTAACTCCCACAATGAACTTGTGCTAAGTAAATTGTTGGCAAAGACAGAAGTCAGTCTCGGAGCATAACTTTGCTGCCTGCCCAAAAAGGCGGGGCGGGGGGAATACACACACACACCCCTTTCCTCATAGCTCAGCAACTGTACAGAAGGAAGTAAACTCTCCCTTAGTTCCCAACACAGGAGGAAGTTCTTCAACCATAGGCTTCTTAGCAGCAAGTTAAACCAGTGATATTTTTAAAAGCAGCTAAGCTTGAGATGTAGGGAAACTATCACTTTAATACCCCAGGCAGAATGCTCCTGGGGACCTCAGGCCTCATTTATCATTAAATTTCTTTTGAAAAGTTCAGTACTTAAAATGCAGCCCCTGCTTTCTGTAGCTGACTTTAACATTGGCCCCTATTTCTCTACCCATAAACTGTGATAATCAGGTACTCTGAACACAGAAACAGGAAGAAGGGACTAAGGTTTAGCTAGGTGGACCTCTTAACTCCAAGAAGCCAGTTTAATACATAAACCTCACTTCAGACTACTTTGCATTGCTAGAAAAAGCATGAGGCTCAGGTTACCACATCTCTAAATTATATTCTTCATTAAGTAGCTGGCGTACTAATCTCCAAATCTCTGACACAGTAGTGGGCTCCTAACCATTGCAACCATTAGTGAGTGACTAATTCCTTAAGGGGTGGTCACCTATTTCGACTAAAAAGGTGACAGTTTGCTTTCTGTTTTGTTCACTCAAAGAACAATGCAAAACAGGCCTGAATACATGATCACAGTATTGGAACACTGATCACATGGCAGAGAGGAAAGGAAGAACAGCAAATGAGATACTAGATGAGTTCTTTCCTCATTCAGTGCTCAGCAGTGGTAAGGTCTCACTTATCTTTAATCCTGGAGAGGAATCTAGCTCTGGAAGCTAAACCTGTCTCTTAAGCATAAGCACAGTGTGTTCAATAAAACATTTTTATTCTGTACAATATATATGTATATTTAAATATATATATGTATGTACATATATATATATGCAGAGAAACCTCAACCAACAAATCCCTGAGTCCACGGGAACCCAGGACACTGACAAAGGGAAATGAAGGAGTCCATGCCCTAAAGAGTAGGAAACATGGCAACATCTTTCCCTTTTCTCCAGGTTCCCAGCAACAGAGGGAAGGGATAGTCACTGCAAATTACTAAAACAAGAGAGGACTTATGTAGGAGCAGGAAGCAGGGTGAAGGTGGCGGGAATGGGAGCTGCGGGTCAGTCTGGAAAAGTAAAACATACTGTTTGATCCAGCATTACAACCAACAGATCACTGCAGGGGAGGGGACAAAACTGACACGCGGCTGACCTTTGGTATGCCAAGCCTTAGCTCGGCAGTCCAGGCCTGGGCCAGCACAACGAATAGCACCTGTGGGGCCTATGCGAGGAGAGACTGGGGAAATGGCCCTTGAGTGAATAAGGGAAGGGACTTAAAGCCGAGAAATAGGCTGCATGTCTCAGTACAGAATGGGAACATTGCCATTAGCTGTCCCTGTGCCATTTCTTCAGACCCTGGGCCACCGGATAGCCAGGAGCAGATGTCTTCTGTCCATAGTCAGGTAGAGATGGCAACTTACATGGTCTTCAGAAGAGGTATAGAAAAAGAAGTGCTTGTGAGGACCACCCCCAGTAGCTGTGACAATTCTTGAAATGCAGGGACCACACCGGTGCATCATGCCCAGTCCTGACAGTGGGGCCGAGGTGGTGGCGGTCAGCTCCCTCCAGTAGACAGGCCAGGGGGTTTCCGGGGTTGATGAACCAACCAGGTGCACACACGGCTGCTGGGCACTGCCCTGAATTCTCCTGTCTTCTCCCTCGGGGCTGCCCCTCCCTGGCCACACCAAGCTTGGCACCTCTCCAGAATGGCGGCAGGGAGCACCCCTCTCTCCCTAGCCTATTAACACACACAGCCGCCGACAGGGGGCAGCAGGGCCAGAGTCACCTTGTGTATTGTAGGGACAGCAACGGAGCTGTGCCTGCCTGGAGGACTTCAGAAGCCCACGTTGGCCTGGGCTTCTCCTGCTGCAATGGCTTGTACATCAGTGACATGGCCGATGCCCTTGGTGACACCCTCCCGGAACAGCAGCTTGGCGCCCACCTTCAGGTACTCTGGGTGTTTCAGGAAGCGGAAACGTACCACTGCCTTCTCCCCTGTCCGCAGCTTGTCCTGCAGCAGATATGCAGTCACTGGCCCTGGACAGTGCCTCCCGTCCCATCTCTACCAGCCTGGGTTCTCCACCCTTGGGGGCCTATCAGGCTTCTACCCACCCTAAGTGAGTCTTTGTCCCTTTTGTAGGATCAGGGAGTTCTCTATGAGTCTGGGGCCAGGCCTTCCTGGAGGCAGGAGAATTCTGACTTTTCCCTGGAAAAACAGGCATGGCTGGGTCCCTCTCACCTTGGCATGGATCTTTTCCACCACTGCCGTTTGA